TTTGGAGGAAGAACCGAATCGTCCACGCCTGTCTTATGCCAAGTTTCACTTTATTTAAATGACAAGAAAAATTGTTTTAAAACGTTTCACCCAAAATAAAATAAATATTTCAATTTGTTTTGTAAGGTACGTATTTTACAATTACATGCGATTTACACTATGTTTATACTTCCATATTTCTTTCCACTCTATTTTTAATAATTTGCAATTGATATAACTTATTTCACTCTTTAAATTTGTCTACATTGTCCACAACAGAGAACAATTCTTGCAGAGGTGGTCATCTGGTGGAACCACCTCTATAACCTAATGGTGAAATATTAAAACCAAAAATTCTTGGTGATATATGAGTTTTTGGTACCAAAGAAAGACATTTCCTCCCAAAAAAGTTCCAGAAATGTTTCATAAAAAATACGTGTTACTGTAATTTTTATGTGAAAACAATAGAGCAAGGAGTATTTTTATAGTTGCCGATTGTTCCTTCCCCTACTCAAATTCTTATTTAGTCGCGCAAGTTGCGAAATTCGTGATAATTTGGGTGTTATCTTCATTCAAGGCGAAAACATTATCCTACTACTTTCCGCCTTAGGTATCCAAAAAGTAGATTTAATACACAACACGTGTGCCGGCTGCCACCAGTGGGTTTACGTGCGGCAGCGCAGTGCGCTACCGTTCGGTTGTTCTTCCCATGACGTCACTGTTAAGAAACTTCAAGGAGTTTGCCATAGGTAATACCAGAAGTGCTTTGAAAATTGTCGATAAATCCTCAACTCACGAAGTGAGAAGGCGATTTATCTGAGAATTTCCAAAGCACGTATATTATTTAATAGGACTATTCCACGAATGAAATTATGTCCAATAGTTCCAAAATGCGCCAAATATTGAAAACAATTGCAAGTTATGTTAAAATCAAAGAGGCTATGCTACAGTAAATACGAGGTTTATTGGGCATAGTCAGAGTAATTAACGTATATCCTCCTAAAGTAGGTGAGTGACAGTTTATGCCTGGCCAGTAGCGAGAAGCGGTAAGAAACTTTTTGACATAAACCGACGTGATTGAGGTATTTTGTATATGTAGTTAAACACTGTTGGTATTTTATTTCACGAGTGTACGATAGTCATGAGAAATGCCCGGGCGTGTTGTTCTCAGCATTTTTTGAATTAACTTTATTTACAGTGCATAATTACTTGAGGTTTTATTAGATTGTCAGTGAAAATAGAGATACTTTGATTCATACGTGTGTTTATTGTTTACAAATGAAGATTAGACTAAGGATTTTTTTATTATAATATATTCTGGAAAACTGCCGAATTGTGCAATGATAGTTTGTAATAATTACAGGCACAGAACTAAAAGAAAAGTAGATCAATTGAACATGACTTATAGAAGATATGTACACCTCCCAAGCAATAAAGAAACTTGTGGTAAAAAAATGCAATTTTGCCTTTGAATCCGCAAGTAGTGAAGTTACATGTAAAGTCAATTTTTTTAGGATAACATAATGATTAAGTTAAAGTACTATTTTTCTTTTCTTATTTTCATATATTGCAGATCACTTTTTTTCAGGAATAAATTTTGCCCAATCGACAGCCGTAGCACGTAAATAAGATGTCACTTCCCAAATAATGTGTTGAGTCAGTGTCAAATCAGCAATTACAGTGGCTCTCAAAGTTAACCGTACACTATGTACGAAAATAAAAACTGGCATAGAAAAAATATTTATTGCAGAATTGTGAGGTACAAAATAAATATAGTTCGTATTAGTGCAAACCTTCTTCACTCATACATTACAAAATTGAAATAATTGAATGAATAAAAAATAAAACTTCTAATTCATAAGTAATTTACCACAAAAATAAACCTTTTAGCACAAATAACAACCTTCAGTCTTGCTAGCATTGATCTTACAAGTTTCCTTGTAAATTAGGCGCGATTTTCTCCCATTCTTCAGTGAGGGCATTCTTGAGCTCTTTTTTATTCGAAACTTTATTCTACACATTGTTTTTCAACTCTCACCAAAAGTTCTCAATAGGATTGAGATGGGGTGATTGTGGCAGCGTTTCAAGGCGCTTTGATACATTATATAACAACCATTACTTCAGAATATGCGCTTATGCGCTGCATGGACGAACGCGTTTTCCTGTTGAAAGTATATGTCGGCCGCAGTGCCCGATTTGTTTGATACCACTTTCTAAAGTTAATAAATATCCAAATTTGTCAACTGTGGAATCAATAAAATGGAGATCCCCTACACCTGACGCAAACATTCAGCCCCATTTCCCTACTTTCCCGTTGTAACCAGCTAACAGTCTAGTTTAGTTTAACAGTCTAGTTTAACAGTCTAGTAGTGCCTTTTGGACAGTTTCTGAAGAAACTATTCTCCTCGTTGTTGAAACCACCACGGAGTCATTTTAACAACACTTTGGCTAGGATTCCTGCTGATGTTATTTCTTTTATATCGTTCGCTGAGTCACCGATTTCGGCCTCTGCCCCTTTTATTAATTAATCTGCCATCGTACTTGAATTGGTTTACCATAGTTTGAATAGTTGGATGAGGTCTTCCCACTGTCATCGCGATACTACTTAGTGATCTTCCACTCAAGGCTAAATTCACAATGTCTTTGTTTTTGTTTTTTTATCGTTTCCCTTCTCGGGGCCATTTTCAATTCGATGATGCTCTCCGCATCTGGCCATCAATAAATTGGTTTGACACAACTCGCAGAGGTCTCTTTGTGCAGTTTTGTGAACGCACGGGAAGTGCAATGCACGTTCACGACACTGCGGTGCGATCATTCATACCCTTACGGGCATCTGCAACATAAAGAAAACCAGAAGGTCAAAAATGACTTTAGCCAACTAGCGCGCGCATTACGTGTGCAGAAATGCTAAGTTTATGTTTCAAGTCTCATTTCTCTGTTTCAGATTACTCTTACCCCAAGAAGTGGCTTCGATCGGCCTGTTACTTCACCCGTTCATCGATTGTCGTATGAGGCGATTCGGAAATGAGAGAGTTTTCCGGGTCAACTGCTATTTTTTTTTTTTTTTTTTTTTTTTAAATTTTTTAGACAACCTCTTTTTAATGATTAATCAGTAAATCGCGATGTAAATTTTTAATGGCAATGTATCTAGGGGTGCAGAGGGTGACCCTGAAGCATTTGTTTTGAATACTTGCAGTTTATTCAAATGTGTATTTGTTGTCACAACTTTATACCCAAGAAAACATTTCAATGGATGCGTTTCAAAGCGCGCCACTGATAGTGTCCGTTCATTTCTGTGCAACGCTTATTTGTAAGTATCACACAAAATATTTAATTTTACACCTAATAAAGCATTTTTCTGCTTTCAAATTGCACTAGCCCTCTCAGGAAACCTCAAAATTTAAATTACATATTTTATTTCCGGAAACATTCATACGAGAAGAATTATCGTTTATTAAAGGTATGTTCAATTTTTCTCTTCACATTTCGCGTAAAACAATTTGAAATGAGATGCAGAGCAGAATAGTATTACAACTACGAATTTAATTGTATTAAGGCACGATTAGGACTCATTTTAAAAGGCTTCTTTCAGAAAAGTTGATGATTAGATATTACCGTTATTTATTCTGAATGAATATGAATAAATATTGTTCTAGCCAATCTAGTCATTGTGCTGCAACAACAATCAAGAAATATCAATTCTCTATCGAGTACCGAGACGTCAATTTTCGCATCTACCTACCTTCATGTAGATAGTGCAACACGAGATTTCCACATTGTCTTTAATGTAAACTTTTACAGGACATTTGTCATTCATGTAACTAATACCTTTAACGTTTCCCCCACATTATGAATATATCTTTCTTCCTCCTTTTGCAGAGGTCATGTTTCTGTGTGAGGTTAGGTCAACAAGCGGAATCCAACATCCCACACAGTTTCATGTTGCCGTTTATGTTGAAATTGTCAACTTTTTCATGGCTTCTCATTTTCATTTATACGTTGAATCTGAAAAAAGCTTCTCGTTTCGCAAACTCTATGAGATTATCAAAGCGTAAATACACTCGTGCTTTGGAAAATTGGTCGGTAATTCCCCAGCTCGCGAAGGAGGGGGGGGGGTGATTTAACTGAGGATTTCCAAAGCACGAGTGGTATTTAAGCCATTTCTGCCCATTGTCGACATTTGTGGAGTTGTAGTTTGGCAACTTCTGATTCGTCTTGAGTGAGAAAAAAGATCGTGCAGTTCGTCACATTGTCAAATGTGCGTCTTCTGGCATTCAAGAGTAAAGATTGAAGTTGAATATCGTTCGTTACTCGGGCAGTTTTAGGAGAGTCTTATTAGCATCAGAATGGAGTTTTATCAAAATGGGTAATATGTTTTCTCTACTGGAATTATAAATTCGGATATTTATATTTAACTCTGTATTGTCAAATCGACCACATTTGTAAAATTTTTATTAAGCGATATTTTAATACCTAAAATAAATAACGAAATTTTGTGTCGACGGACACAGATGGCCAAATTATTAGACTAGTTATTGAAAAAGGCTAAGTGTATTTGACACACCCACACACTGTGTACAGGGTTCTAATGTTTTTTAACACTTCATAATTAATATACTTGTTCTGAGGTATGTTGAAAAATAAATTTTAATGCATTCTTTCAATTTGAGTATCATTTTGCAAGCTGCAAATGAGTTGTTTTAGGAGCTGTATGCTGTTTTATGGTATTCCTTTCTTAAGTTTCTTTTAACTATCGAACGAACATCTTCGATGAGATTCATTGTCAAGGCTATTTGCAGCCCATTGGAACCCAGACTGATCAAGGTCTTGAAGACGTCTTTCAACTTTCTTTCCTTTTCTGATACGGAGGAGGAATTATTTATTTTTTCTTTCTTTTTTTCAAACGACTCATTTATGTGAGAGAACCACAGGTTCTTTAGGGCTTCAAAGTATTGGTCGGGCCTCACTGAACCATTAAGAGCGTATCCATTTCCAATAACATTAATAAATATTACCCTTCAAAAAAATATGTTGTCTACTAATTTGGTCACCTTTGTATGTTGACAACAGGCATGGAAGACAGTGGTAATGAGTGGAGAGTGGAGAGTGGAGATAACAATAGGCTCTCAGGTAAGCCGCTGAATTAGTCTGCTTGTAGTTTACAAGAGGACGGACCGATAAAAGAAAAGAGATGAGGACCTACTCATTTTGAAGAATCCGATGAACAAAATGCATGGAAAGATGCATGGGGGGTGGAGATAATCTGCGCACATTTTCTTGAGTTTCAGAATCCCTTCCCATCATTTTAACTATGAATAGTTGAACGATGAGTAAAAGTTTAATATAAATAATTTTTTTTAAAAACGCGAGATTAGCAACATTTGCAGAAAAAACTAGACATTTTTGTTCCCGAGTTAAAGAAAACATTTGCATCGGTAAATGAATTGCAGATATGATTTTTTCTGCTCGGAATACTATGTGATAACGATTGCGTATTCTGTGACTGTGGTAAAACCAAAAGGGCATGCAAGGCGCTGGAGCAAACGATACAACCAACTTCGTCAACCTGCATATATGTCTGTACAATACGTACATGGATGGCGTAGATCGGTTTGATCAAAATATTGCCACCTATCGCATTAAAAATGGTAATGGCCGACGATTATTTTTGTACTAAATGTGCCAATGAATTATGTAAGGCAATTATATAAAGTATCACCAAGAGGAAAGGAAGAAAACCTAGATCTGCTAGTGTTTACTAGATATATTGTCACAACATACTTGGCTACTTACACCAAACATCGTGTGTGGCGGGCAGATCATTGAAAAAACTGGTGAAAAATTACTAAAATTGACGTTTGCTTCGACAATAAATGTAATATTTTTTTAGAAGCTGTTGCAAAGCAAGTAAGATGTGGCTTCTGCGGAACCCGATAACACTGCAAAAAAATGTGAAGTAGGCTGCCACGTCCTGTGTGCTGAAAATTTCATACTCCTGACTCATAAGTTGAAATAATGTCATAAAAATAAAGAAATATACATTTGTAAATTTTACCTCGATTGTATACACAGTATTTAAAAATAAAGTGTGTTTTGTTCATTAAGAGTAGTATGCATTTTAGCATAGCTTCTGCAATCGTTTGTCTACATACGGAGACTCTCAGTGCATTATTTACAACCCAACTGGTAGTGTCCAGTGTTGACATTTTACTTTTACTGAAGTCAAATTTTAATCAATTAATACCGCAAAAACGGCTCTAAATTATATCTTTCATTTTTTTTCATTGTATGTAACAAGAATGGTAAGTGGTGTTGGTCATGTTTTTCTCTCTCTGCGTGTGTGTTTTCAAAAATTGAAACAAAATAAAAATAAAAATTGTAAATTCAAATTTCCTGTGTTTTATTTGACGCAATGTCAGTTCACAAAATGGCAAGAAGGCGGTATCAAATTATTGGGACCTTGCTGGTCATGATGACCGTGTGATGTAGAAAATATCTTTACAATTTAAGGAAGGTAACTTAGAACAAACAAATACACTGCTTTTATATTAATAAGTTTTGATTGCTGAGTAAAGTGTTCAAAAATTAAAAGCTAGCTTCGATGTAATCAAGGGAAACTTGTGTCAAATTGTTCTTGTTTTTCTGTATTATGTGCTGCAAATACTGTAACTGTTAAATTTATTCATGTTTGTTTCACAGTAAGAAATGGCTACTGTTCCTGACTCAAAATAAATGCAAATATCAACACAAGCACTTTGTTTGAATTGATCTTCTACAAGTTATAGCTGAGTTGTTAGTAGAGCAGAAATTGCAATATTTCAGTATTAGGTGGATGTTTCCAATGATGCAAGAAAGAGTGTGCTGTAGTAGCACCTCTAGTTCATTCAAAGTATGAAGGCCTGCAGATCTTAAAGACATTTCATGTACACATTTTTCAAAATATGAGTAGTTTTCATTTGAAAGAACTTGACTATTTTCCACAAATAGGTGAATGAACAATTTTTATGTAAATATTCATGACCCAATAATTATTTTTATACTTAACGCTATTCATTTGTAAGTCACAAAGGCTTTCAATAATCTTCTAAGTTTCTCAAATATTTTTGAGCATAATTATAATTATTTTTTTATATTACCTATGAAGAGAAAATACTAGAAGTGTTTGTAGGCTAGTGGTATTTTTTATTGCTTACACATTCCCAAGGATTGATTTATTTATTATATTTTTTATCTTATAAAGTTTTTTGCTAATAAAAACTTGCACTATTGAATAAGGTACAATTCTGTTTTTCAGAAAAACCCATTAAATTTAAAAAAATGCCAGTCCAAATACCTTGTGTATTTCTTTCCTTTATTTAAAATAATTTTTTTATGAGAATTAGTACGAAACAAGATTTAATATTATTTTCCCTAACAGGTAGAAATAATACGATAAAGTACTATTCTGTTGCAGCACCACTCATTTTAAATTCAATTCAATGAAATTGCGTTGAAGAGCCTATATATGTTTTAGGCAACTACACATTGTTTGTTGTTCATAAATGTATAAGAGGATTGTTGACAATTTGTATTTTCATTATCAGTTATTTTGATGCTGTTGAATACACTGACAGTTTGACACAGCAATTTCATGACAAAAGCAATCAAAAAATTGTTTATTTTTTTCCAATAAAATTTCTAGGAGGCAAATATACGAATTATATTTACAATTATAATACAAAAATAGGAATACATGATAACATAATTAATCTCAATTTCTTAATTAATATTCCAGTCTTCCTCAAATTCATGAACACATTTTCTCTAAAATTTGTTTGTCTTTGAAAATCAAACCATTTTGAGTACACTGGTTGATAATCACAATTGACAATACACAATTACTGGGTATCTTCTCTCTCAAATATTAAATACAGCATACAATTCACCTCAACACAGAATAAATAATTTGTCCACTATACAAATAATTTTTCATTCATTCAATGTAATATTACTATTTACAATTCATTAGCAAATTACAGAAAAATGGAAATTATTCCAAAATACATAATTTAATTTTAAATAACATTAATTTTTACAATAAGTATCATTTACCTGAAATAGCACCCAATGCAATGCATTTAAACATCAAACTGGGAGATACCTTAAAAATTTCTAGTGCAATGCTCAAGATTCTCACTTCTAGGGTGTGGACTGTAAATTATTACAAAGGTGGATCTAATCCAAATTGATCAATCATCAGATGTTTTGGCCACTACTGGCAAACTAAGAGTACCCAATAATTTCTCTCATTGTGCTTCCAAATGTGCTATGAAACAACTACAAAATATTTTGACTATGCTCTTTTTCAGTTTATTTTAAGAAAAGTTTTGAAAGCTTGTTGGTCACTGCCACGTCTTGGAGAAAGTCATGAACTTGCTTGAAAACTGAAGGCAGAATTTTCCAACAAGAGATCATCAAGCTGATATTTTAACCTCACAACATGGATGAAAAACAGAAGAAATGTTTCCACGAACAGTTCATGGGGCAAATACAGATTACAAGTACAGTAAAATTACAAGCAGATAAATAGTTTAAAATGCAAACTATGATGTTTTGCTAAACAATCACATTTTTATCCCAAAACAATTAAGAGGAAAATTTACTATTTAGAAATAAAATATACAGTCATCCCAAATTTCAACAAAAATGCAACATGTGTTCACAGCAGAAATTTTTCATCAAAAAAGCATATTCTGTCGCAGAAATATATTGGTTCACAGTCCAACAGTTGTTATCTGAAAGCCTTTAAAGTTTGGTAATTTCTTAACAATACAATTTCCATGTAATATACTAAAAGAAATAATTTTCTCATGTTTTAACAGATAAGAAATATCACACTGTTGTGAGTAACTGGCATTTACCTGCAGACACCAAAGTACGATATTACATTTCTTTTAGCTTGAATCATTGTTTGATCCTGTTGCATTTGTCCAATCTCATAGGCAAAAGTTTTCAAATTTTATTTTGGGTTTAAATATGATATTTTGCACTTTTTCTCTTTGAAAAATTTTCATTGTTTCTGCCCTTAAAATCCAGAATATCAAACCTGTACTCATTAATTTGCTAATGTAGCATAATGTTGAAAGAGAATTATTTCCTGTCAAACACACCTCTGCAAGAACTCTTACTGATAATGATATCACAGGTAATAATAGCAGCTCTGATATGAATAAAGAAATAACTGAATAAATTGTCAAGCACCATCAGAATGGAATGCACATATTTCAATTCCTGTTCTTTATTGACAGGGAAAGGGCCTTGCAATTTGATGGCATTGAAACTTAATATATTATGCAGTTATATAACGAACTTTCTTCAAACAATGCACACATGTGCACAAAACAAGCAACTTTTTGGACAAACAAAACATCCTGGCAAGTAATTGAAATAAAAATTTCCTGACCTTTGTTCAATTGACAGTTAACAAGTATAACTATCGAACCAAACCAAAAAGCATCAACATAATATTCATACAACACAAGTAAAAGCATAAAATTACTAATTTGTGCATCTCCACATCGAAAGGACAATTGAAATGCTTAGAAGTGATTAAATTCAATTAGATAAATATAAACTGTATTAAAATTTACAATACTATGGAAATTTTTAAATGCAAACATATGCCATTTAGTGATCATTGTCAAAAAATGTCAGTCAAATCATTTTAAATATTCCATGAAATGCAAATGAATGTTTAAGTCATAATATCATCTGGAAAAGAGTTAATACCAATGAAAATGTAAAGATCAGTATCTGTTTATCTATCAACATTTGACCTTGTGTTTCAAGCCATTTTTAATAGTGCCTATCACAGTTCTCACTTGTATGATCAGGGTTTGTATCTTTCAGCTCCACTGCGAGCCAATCTATCAGCCATTTCATTTCCATGTATTCCACGATGGCCTCGAACATGTTCCTAAAAACAAGAATAAGTATTTACTATTTTTTCAGAGCCTCTATAAAATGAATAAGAATTACATAGAGAATAATCTGACACTTGATTGGGCTCAATAAAATTACCCAGAAACAATTACAATCAAAAGGAACTGTGTTTGTAGTGAACAGGAACCAAACTTCAATGTAAATTTATATTCTTTAGTTGTAGTGTTCTCCCTTGGAATGTATAAAACCTCAGAATGTGTATAAAACACTAAATTGATAACCATATGAACATGATTAATTCATAATTAATAAATGATTGATATTTATTATAACAAACAAATTATAAAAAAGTTATGGAGCATTTTGAGATGCTCCATGTCATCTCAATGGCATTTAATTTATAAAACGAATACAAAATATGACAATAAGTTGACTATGCTATATATTGATTTAGTCCAATAACATTTTATAATAAAGTGACATTTAATTTAAATCTAAATAATATCTAATAATGGAACATTATTACAATACATCAAAGGGAATTAGCGTTTTGAACTTAAATGGCAGGGTGTGAGATGTGCTTTAAAATCACAGTAGATGTAACGTTGTTGTACACAGAAATGAACAATTAGTGTAATCAAAATTGAGGAACGATGTTTGCAAGTGAGATAAATATCTAACAAGATATTACTCGAAGATGATAGGAACAGAAAAGTATTTTTTGTGTAAGAAAAAGAATGGTTGGAGTGGCAACCGAGTGGCCAAGTTTGCTGAAGGAATTCTAAGAGGAAAGTAATGCATACACTACATGATCAAAAGTATCCAGACACGTCCAAAATGGTGTTATCATGTGATCACATTTTTCATGGAGGGGGCTTGCACCCCTTGTTGTTTTGTGAGGCACTAAAACTTCACAGGCCTACATTGAAGTTTTAAACACGTTCTTGCTTCCCACTGTTGTACAGCAATTCGGGGATGGTGATTGCATCTTTCAAAATGATCAAGCACCTGTTCATACAGCACGGCCTGAGACAGAGTCGTTTCACGTCAATAACACCCCTGTAATGGACTGGCCTGCCCAGTCCTGACTTGAATTCTACCGAACATCTTTGGGATGTTTTGGAACGCTGACTTTGTGCCAGTCCTCACCGACCTACATCGATACCTCTCCTCAGTGCAACACTCCATGAAGAATGGGCTGCCATTCACTATATATATAAATATAATTTTTTTTTAAATCAATATTTAAAGTAGTATGTCAGTATAGCATATTTTGTGCATCGACAATGAACATCAAAAACATAATTTATATGATTTATTCTGCTTGAGATCTAGTTGTGGAATTGCTAAAGAAATTGTGGAAAAAGTTACAATTTCACTGAAGAAAATTCAGAAATTTGTGATGTTCATCCTTCCAAGTTTTAAAGGCATTCACAAATATTTCTGGGAGCTCAGGTAAAGGCTCAAAGCCTGGAGGCAGTGAGAGACAATGATAGTGTCACTGCTATGATAGGAAAAGATTATTAATGATACCTGCTTGTCAGCACACAATGATCCTGATAAGCTGGTTTAGACGAGCTGAAGCAAGGATGACACCAGGGGAAGAAGCTGGCTGAACAAACTTGCTATGAAAAGTTGACTTAAAAGAGCTTAGCAGACTACTTTAATAGTATTAAGTGACATTTCAATAGGTTACTGTCTCTGAGGTGAGCACAGTGACTATCAAAATGTGCATCTTGCAAAAACATTATGATTATTAGTAATGTTACACCTATCTAATTTGTGGCAAATATATTTTGTTATTAATTCATGTCATGGATTACCACAAGATATCTGCAACCACCAATGAATTTACTGTTTTTATTTCATCTACACCATTCCTAAATTGTTCACATTAATGGATTTAATTTTGGTTACTTTCCATTCCTTCTTCTAGTCAGGATAAATTAGGTTCTATGCAATTACTTACCCATTTCACTTCAATATTCTTCATAGCTTCAAGTAGCAGAATAAGGTCTTCTTTATTTTTAACATCTGCACCTGAAGCAACCTTCCAGTTATTTTTTACCCACTTCTTTACCCATTTTGTAATACAATTTATTGTAAACTCGGAATCTGTATGAACAAGAATCCTCTTCACTCCTGTGTAAAAAAACACTTTGTGTATAAGAAACAGCATTCATTATTAACCAAGTAGAGATTTCACAATTCCAAAAAAATAAAATAATGTAAAAAAAATTGTCTTCTGATCAAAAATTATTTTCAACGTGACTTTCTTTGGTACTTCCTACATTCAATGCACAGGATTTTCCCACTACTATGTGCTTTGAATGAAAAAATAGTCAAACCCCCAATGATATTGAAAGAAATTCCATCTGGGTTTCCATACATAAAAATACTAGATTTATGAAGTTAGATTAAATTAGATAAGATTGACCAAATACCGTATTTACCCGAATATAAGACGAAGTTTTTTCCGAAAAATCTTCGAAAAATGCGGGGTCGTCTTACATTCGCAGATTAAGACTAGTCGCTTAGGCTTTAAGTTTTTACATTGCCATTCCACGTCATGAAACTCGTACATGTTCACGTAACAATAAACTGCGAAGACGGTAAAAAATATTGCGCGTAACAATACCTAATTATATTCGCCTTCGTATTCTCAGCATCCAGCACAAATTTGTCGGTCAATTCAGACATATTTTTGAATCGGCCGAAAACAGAATCTCTAACCAAATGGCAATGTATCAAATGAAACGTAACGAGAAAATGAATGCTGAGTTTGTTACACGATGAGAGTTCGACGAGGCCGCGCGGAATCTCGGTTCGACGCCCAGAGAATATGAATCTGAGTTTGATCAGAAACAGACGCCAACAACTAGTGCGGGACGGATAGAAAATCAGGCGACAGAAGGGAATGTTCTTAGATGGTGTCTGTTAAAAGACTACGAACAACGCAAAACTTTCAAGAGGGACAAAAAGTTTGAAAATGTCCCAGCATGGAAGAAGGACCAAAAAGAAAGAAACATTGATACAAGAGATTATGAGCGTAGTGACAAAAACCATGATTATGATGATATTAAGTTCCAAGAAAATAATAGTTTAGCAATAACTCTTAACATTCTTATCACCACAGCAACTTTCTTGTCAATAAACCATTTTGTACTTTTATTTTGACTAAATAGTAAAAATTAGTTAAAAATTTTAAAAAGTCACAGGAGGCCTCTTCAAAATTAGGGTGTTGTCTTTTATTCAAGGTCGACTTATATTTGGGTAAATACGGTAAATTAATTGGAAAGTAAATTAGGGTGTAGAAGTAGTTTATTTAGAACTTAGAATAACTCTGTTTTGACTAAAGGGAGTTGAAAAAGAATCCAAAATAAGGGGGGGGGGGATGCTCTCTATAGTTGCAATGTCAACTCCATAGCTTATTATTTGAAACAAAATTCCCACGTGATAAATAACACTTAACTAAACTACTCTGTTTATATATGGTAGTTCAAAACATTTTAGATTACATTTCCTTTAAAAATTATTTGAAGGATGACTGATATTTATTCAATACGTATTGTCAGAGTGGTTTCCATAGTATTCCAGGATTGTCATGAGTTTCAAGAAATTAAAAATCCTGACATTTCCCTGAAAAAAATTAATATTTTCCCTAATACTTTTTTAATGCAAGTGAAAAATTCATTTCAACAAACTTGTATTAAATGCATTCAGATTCGGAATGTGTAGAACCTTTATAAATTATAAAAATGAGGAATTTTACCACAATTAAAGGGGAGAATGAAAAGCAGGCAGGCCTTAGCCCTCTCTGAAGTGATGAAATGCCCCCCCCCCCTAGATTTTATATTGTGACTTAATCGTTAATTTTAAAATTATAAAATATATGTTAAAAAATACTCTTTCAGCGGTAATTTTATTAAACAAAATAAATACTTCATTTTAATTTTGGAGAACTGAATTTTCACTAATTGCAAATAGAACTATGAAGCTGTAAAATGTAAAGCATTATTTTCTTTTGAGAAGTGAAATCAAAGAATAAGTAAGTAATCATTTTAGGATACAAGGCAGCATTTTATGGAATACTAATAAAATGTATTTAAAGCTCAGACCAAAATCTGATGAACTATTGTAAAAGCGTGTGACCCACTCTGATGAACAGTTTTCACTTGATGATTTTATTATAAATTTATCTTGAAACCATTCCTTAAGAGCATACAACAAAGAGTGATATGAATTATGTTTTCTAATGAAAATCATAAAGCACTAGAATTGTGCATCTTCACTCAGTTTTTAATACATTTTAAGTTCTAATTTAAAAGTATATTTTAAATGATTATTTTATATTATATTTAAAATTTTTAATTGAAAAAGCGTTAACTTCCTTAATCCACATTTTGGTTAATATTTTCATAATAATAAACATTGCTATTATGTTTTGCATATTCATTTTCTAGAAAAGAAGTGGTAAAATTCTTTTTCAAGCTTACTACTTCTTTTCCTGCAATAACAGGAATACTACAGACATCCTTTTTTTTGCACTTAAAGTTAAAATATAACCAAATTGTAAGCAGGACTTCAAAAATTTTTACAATCAAAAGTTCAAAAATAAAAACATGTGAATATAGAAGTAATAGGTCACCTATTTATCATTATATCAGAAATGTTACTTTTCAATCAATGTCATCCATTGTCAATTACCTGCTCTCTTTGCAACTTCCAAAGCCTGTACTGCAGCTTGAATTTCAGCTGTGTTGTTTGTTGCACGACCATGAACAGGCTCCGAAATGTTTCTAAAACATCATATTATCTCAGTTCCTTGGTATAACAAAACTACACAATATTATGAAAAGAAAAATAATTTTCTCATGGACACACTTGAAAAATAGAAGATAAAGGCCTCGGAATACAAGATCTTTTCATGTGTTAACTAAGAAATCTACTTAACAAAATGGTAAAAAAATCCCTATGTTAAATTTTATTTCTTGGATAATGTAATTAATGTTTAATTGAAAACTAATGTCATTTCAGAACTAGTGGTGCTACAGAATGGCACAGAATTTCCTGTATTAGTTTTCTATTTCCTTTGGCCTTCGCTAGCTACTCAAACTTGCAACATACTCTTGCCTGCTGTCTTCTATCATTGCACAAACAATTTTTTTTTTTTTTTTTTTAATTTTCTTAATTAATCTGTGTCCTAAAGAATTTTCCTTATTATTTTAAGAATATTAAAGAACAATAAAACTGCAACCACAATGGCAATTTTTTTTAAAAATTTGGAGCCTTTTTAAGGAAATGACGCTTAAGCGCTTTAGTAAATTTGAAATTTGAAACACTTTTTCACAGGCAATTTTTGAGTTTTTGAAAATCATAATTTGAAGCATATTCACTCACAAATACAATAGTGTTTACAAATTGTTGGATATGTGCATATTACCGGCATAAGAACTTTCAAAAAAATTACACTTGTGTAATTTTTTAAGAAAGAAAAAAAGCCCAGAAATTAACTTTACCTCATATTAAAGATTATTTATTTTATAAAGATTAGATGCAATTAGAACTATTCTTTAGAAAAATTGCAGAAAAAATTTGGAGGCATTTTCGAAAATGGCGTTTGGGCATTTCTGAAAATGCAGAATTTGGAACTAGTTTTCACAGAAAACAGTTGAATTTCGAGAAACTTTTTTTAACATTATTTAAACCACATGCACTTACATACAATAATGTGAACAAATTGCCGCTAATATAAATATTAACGACATGAGAGCCAAGAGGGAAAAAAATACATTTTTGAATTTTTTGAAAAAACAAATGAATAGACCAATATGACGTTTATGTCATCTTATAAAGTATATTATGCAGTCTTCTTACTAAAAGTTTAAAAACAAAATTTGGAGCCGTTTTCGAGAAAATTTTGTTTTTGTAATTTTTTTAAAATTGCTCGTTTTGCGCGAAGACTACCACAAATTTCAAATCAATGCACACGACCTTAAAAAAAGAATTCATTATGAAGAAAAAAATGTATTGGAAGGCATCATCTCGGTTGAAGAAGGGTACACGGTACCCCCGTCAGACAAGCGTGGCGGCGGGGAGGGGTCTCCTTAAGTTCTCCCTTAAATTACGCTACGCTCTCTGATAGAAATGAATCAAACTTACGGATAGGCGATTTTCATGGCTCGCCCTTTATACGCTTTGTCCCCGCCACTTTGAAATGCCAATTTACTTTCAAAGGCAAGTTTTTTCGCTTCGCTCGTCCGGATCCAACTAACGGAAGACGTTTAAACCGACACTTCGCGCCGCTCCGGCGGCAACTGCGCAGTTTGAATTCTGGTAGCATTTTGAAAAGTGCTTTCTTATAAAAGTGAACTGGTTACTATGCGGTGCATAGACTCACTCATAGATGTTTATAGTGAATAGGAAGGCCGAAGGCCCGAGTCTCGACGTGACTTGGATCCGGGCGAACGAATCGAGTAAACTTGCCTTTGAAAGTAAAATGACATTACAATGCGGCGAGGACAAAGCGTATGAAGGGCAAAACATGAAAACTGCCTATCCGTAATTTCTATCAGAGAGCATAATGTAATTTGAGGTAGGGCTTAAGAAAAAAACCCACCGACGCCACGCTTCTCTGAGGGTGTACCATGTACCCTACTTTAACCGTCAATCTCAAAATAATATCAGTGTTCAAAGGAGACATTGCACTAAACCTTACTTGTTCTCTTTTTTTGCCACTCAACAAACAAAGATCATAAGAAAAATGGTGTGTGTAATAATAAATCAATAGTTCATTTTTTTTATTACTTTGTAACTAATTTTTTGTTTGTTTATTTATTAGCCAATGTTATGAATGACTATTTACTATGAGATTACTCAGATTTACCTTGAGAACCAGTTGACAAATGTAGGAGAGAATCGCCACAGTGCATTCTAAAGAATAGACATCCAACAACTCGTAGTACCTACACATCACAACTCTGAGTACGGAGGAATACAAATGCTACTTACAACGGATGACTATCTCCAAACCAAACTCCAATTCCAGCCTTTGCCCCACATCGTCCATTTTTCTCACAGGCTCCGTCAGTGTAAACAATGACATAGCCATCTTCATTAACACGAAAATCATGGTCAAATCCATCAGCTTCATCATCAGAGTTCAATTCAATTTTGGGTATTTTTTTTGGAGGAACAGGGACAACTTCTATCTCATCCTCCGGTGGTGTGGTGCAAAGAGATCTATAACAAACAGCTTGAGTACTTACTTAACAATCTCATAATCACTTATCAGAACAAAAAATAGTTCTTACCGGCTTCCAATAGGCTGAGGAACATTAAATGATTCAAATAAAGATCTCTTTATACTTGATCTACTAACACTTGGCATTCCAACATTCTGATTTCCAGTTGAAATTTGACAAGAAAGTTCTTCAACTTTATTTTCCAAATTATTAAGTTTTAATAACATTTGCTCTAAAGTGCTTTTAATTTCACTGTACTGAGTGACAACTCTCTCTAAAACTGCCTTTATTTCAGATACTTCAGTGCCATTGATGGAACTTGTATTTTTTGCATTTCTTTGTGTGTCTTCTGTAAGAAATGGATCCTCTTCAGCCAAACTTTGCAAGGCTGATACAGTTAGAGGTGTCAGTTCGTTTTGAACTTCAGATCTTCCTGCCAGTGTTCTTGAAGCATTAACAATATTGGTTCTGCTCACTCTCTGAGATAGAGCCATAGATTTAGAAGCCACTGGCTGAGAGTTTGACATGTTAATTGGCAGTTGGGTTGGTTGAACACTAGAAGACCGCTGAGAACATGTATTTGGTATAGCAGGCACAGTTGATGGTAAAGCACTATCACGAATAAATTTTGACGGCGATTTGGAAGGGGAGTATTTTTCTTTACATTCCTGAATGAAGGCCACAGCTTCTTTATGAGTTTTGAATTTCCTATATTTGGCGTTTGAGATATTCTCCACTTGTTTCTGACACTCTGGCCTATTTAACCAAAAAACAACAACAAAAAAGTGAATTCCTTATTACTTGCAAGTATTAACGTAAAATGTTATAACAGTTCATCAAACTTAAATTCTCACCATGTCGTATAAACCCCAACCTGCCTTCCTTTACCGACGGCGTAAAACCATTGCGTCGATTGCGACTGCGACATTCTATGAGAAATAGCGGCAGAAGAAAACACTAATGTAACAACTGAAAAAGAAATACGTGAAGTTTCGTTTATAAAGGCTTGCATTAAAACAAGTCTTTAAAACATTTAACATTGTTTTCTGGAAAACAAACATAAAATATGCACACTACTGTCGATAATAATTATTAAATTTTACAGTTCTTTACACAGTAGTTAAGAGTATTTAACAGGTCTGCCAATATCGGCTAATATAAACCTTGCCGGCCACTCTACTCTTTGATATAAACAAACAAATCATACAATCCGGACAACGCCCTCTGTTTCCGTATGTCGTAACCTTGCATCATGATATAATAATCTTCTTGGATAATGGTTACGACATTTGTGAACAGAGGGCGTTGTTGTCCAGATTATATGATTAAACCTCATGGTCAGACCAATGAAAGAGTAGGCTTTTTTTTTCTTTGTCCCCTCCACAGTAACCCTGTGAAGAAAGGGAATTTATTATCTATAAGTTTTTTTTTATATTTTGCTGCTGCCTTGCGGCTTAAGGCGGGGCTTTTTCTTACAACTAACTTACAATCTAGACCTAAAGTTATCTTATTTGCACTTTGGCAT